GTTTCACAAATCCGTGGCTGGGATTATTTAGCTGGGAATTGGTCCTGCTTTGAGCAGTGGGTTGGGCTAGATGACCTCTTGAGGTCCCTTCCAACTCTGATATTCTATGATTCTATGATTCTAACTCCTTCTTGTTCCATGAGTTCACTACTCCTGTCGTTACTGTAGAATCATAGGGTTAGAAGGGACTGCAAGGGTCATCTAGTCTAACGCCCTGCCAATCTGCAGGATTTGTTGTGTCTAAACCAGCCAAGACAGATGGCTATCCAGTCTCTTTATAAAAACCTCCAGTGAAGGAGATTCCACAACTTCCTGAGGCAGTTTATTCTATTGTTCTACTGTTCTTACAGTTAGGAAGTGTATCCTGAGATTTAATCAAAATCTGCTGTGCTGTAGTTTGACCCCATTGCCTCTTGTCCTGCTCCCTATGGCAAGAGAGAACAACTTTTCTCCATCTTTCTTATAGCGGCCTTTCAAGTATTTGAAGACAGATCTCATGTCTCCCCTTAATCTCCTCTTTTCCAAACTAAACATATCCAGTTCTTTCAGCCTTTGCTCATATGGCTTGAATTCCATCCCTCTGATCATCCTTGTCACTTGCCTCTCGATCCTTTCCAGTTTCTCTACATCCTTTCTCTCTTTACATTGGTGACCAAAATTGGACACAGTACTCCAGCTGAGGCCTAATCAGTGTTGAGTGGAGTGATACTATCACCTCCTGTGACTTGCATGCTATGCCTCTGTTGATGCAACCCAAAATTGCATTTGCTTTTTTCACAACAGCATCGCGTTGTTGACTCATGTAGTAGTAAAGGAGGTTGTGCTGCAAAGTAATTTAAGGGAGAAAACATTTTGGGTGATAAGAATGAGACTTTTAAATGTGTTTTCTTGATTAATTTCTTTAAAGACATTTTCATCGTAAGTGTGTTGTCCAGAGAGCAGGTGTTGACCAGGAGCATCCAGACTTCGCCCAAATGGGGATAGTATGCAAGTAGCCGGTTAGCCATATCTTGGCGTGCATCAAAAGGAGGAGTTCGCAGTGGTTCTTATCTTTAATGTGACAATGTGGAATCGTAGGACTGGAAGGGACCTCGAGAAGTCTTCTAGTCCAGTCCCCTGCACTCATGGCAGGACTAAGGTCATGTCTACACTAGCGAGCTTACAGCTGTACTGATGCAACTGTGCCACTGTAAGTTCGCTCGTGTAGCCACTCTGTGCCAATGGGAGAGGGCTCTCGCGTCAACATAATAAAACCACCTTGTCCCAAGCGAATCCCCCATAGGAAAGAAGGAAAACAAGAAACTCCTCCACGTCGTCACACACCTCATCAAGCGATGAGAGAAGCTCTCCTGCTAACATAATGCTATGCATGCTACCACGTATGCCGGTGAAACTTATGTCGCTTAAGGATGTGGGTTTTTTCCACACCCCTGAACAATGTAAGTTTTCTTGACATAAGCGGTAGTTCAGACATGGCCTAAGTATTATCTAGACCATCCGTGACAGGTGTTTGTCCAACCTGCTCTTAAAAATCCCCACGGATGGAGATTCCACAACCTCCCTGGGCAATTTATTCCAGTGCTAAAGCACCCTGATGGTTAGGAAGTTTTTCCTAATGTCCAATCTAAACCTCTCTTGCTGCAATTTAAGCCCATTGCTTCCTGTCCTATCCTCAGAGGTTAAGAACAAAATTTTTTCTCCCTCCTCCTTGTAACAACCTTTTATGTACTTGAAAACCGTTATCATGTCTGCCCTGCATCCCCCCTCCCCGGGCAACAAACTCAATGTTTTTCAATCTTCCCTCATCGGTCATATTTTCTAGACCTTTCATCATTTTTTGTTGTTCTTCTCTGGACTTTCTTCAATTTGTCCACATCTTTCCTGAAATGCGGTGCCCAGAACTGGACACACTACTCCAGTTGAGGCATAATCAGCACGGCATAGAGCAGAATTACTTCTCACGTCTTGCTTACAACACTCCTGCTAATACAGCCCAGAATGATGTTTGCTTTTTTTGCAACAGTGTTACACTGTTGACTCCTATTTAGCTTGTGATCCATTATGACCCCAGGTCCATTTCCACAGTACTCCTTCCTAGGCAGTCATTTCCCATTTTGTGTGTGTGCAACTGATCATTCCTTCCGAAGTGGAGTACTTTGCATTTGTCCTTATTGTAGTCTGTCGAGACTCAGATGGTGTCCCTAGCTTCTGTTTGCCAGAAGCTGGGAATGGGCGACAGGGGATGGATCACTTGATGATTCCCTTTTCTGTTCATTCCCTCTTCGGCACCTGCCATTGGCCACTGTCAGAAGACAGGATACTGGGCTAGATGGACCTTTGGTCTGACCTAGTGTGGCCGTTCTTATCTTAGATCAGAACATCTCAAATCAAAATACATTTTTGCATGCTGAGACTTGTAGTCTCCACAGGCTATAGTGTCTATATTCAAGATAAGAGCCATTGTAGAGCTCGTGGGCTGGATACATTTGTCCTTCGAGTCATACCTTGGCCACCCCTACTGTAGGGGTAATGTTAACAGCATTTTACAAACATGGACCAAAACAAAGATGAACTTCAGTGAGTGGTATTTGTGCCTTCTGCCTATGGGAACCCACTCTGCTCTAGCCTCTTGTAATGGTGACACAGACCTTCTCAGACATAGCCACATAGGTATATTACCCCTGTGTCTGACCGTCTTCTCAATATGTCCCATAATTGTTGACGGATGTTTGTATAGGGAAGGCTAACCCTAACCCAATCAACGTTGAGAACAGTGAGCCAGCCTTGTGGACCTAGACCAGGTGCAGGCCTGAGGATTTACAAAGACAAAAGAACCAAAAGTGTCTGAATAGGGGAATCCTTGGGGTGACCGACAATGGTCTGTAACTGTGTGTAAGAGATGAAGAAAGAGCACAAGTTGTTATCCATTCCAGCAGGGGTATCTCACGAAAGGTGGATCCCAGCTTTCTAAACCGAACAAGCCCTGTGTGGACTAACCTTTGGATGAGAAATACCTTATTAGACAGGAAAGTCACTTGTTAATAAGTATAAGCTATAGATTTCATGTTGTACCTTTCTTTTACTTGTAACCTGGTATTTCCAAACCCTTATACTTGCATTTATTTGAATCTCTGTTTCAAACTCTGTTAAATAAAATTCAATTTGGTTTTGCTATGGACACGTCTAAGCACCTTGTGCCAAGGAGAGAGTTGAACTGAGGTGAAACCTATGAACTGGGGGGCAATGCTTCCACCGAGGCAGCGGATCCGTGTACATTGCAGGTATCCAGAAGATAAGGGACTGGGCACTCGCACGGAGCAAAGTGCGGTGTGTAAGTTCTTAGCCTGCTGAAGGAAAGAGAGGGCTCATGGAGCCCCAAACGGAGTGCCTGTGTTGCCAGCACCTGGTGTCTGGGGAGAGTTTCCCCTGGTGGGCACTGACCGGGCTCCCTCCTGCTGTAAGAAGGTGGTAGAAATTCATCCCAGATGCCTCAGGTATCCCCAAAATGTGTCTCACAGGGTCCCATGGAACCTAACCTTTGGTAGCCTAACTCCAGGAAAAATTAAAACTGTGGGGCTTGGTGGTGCAGTGGCTTAGAACACCCTGTAGAGACTGGGTTCCAATTCTCATATGTGAAACAAGTAGAAATAAATTGGCCTGGATTATCATAGAATATCAGGGTTGGAAGGGACCTCAGGGGATATCTAGTCCAACCCCCTGCTCAAAGCAGGACCAACCCCAACTAAATCATCCCAACCAGGGCTTTGTCAAGCCTGACCTTAATTACGGTAGTCTCCAACACAAAACCACCACTGTCCCTCTGTGCCTGGAAGGCCAAGGCATAGAATTCCACAGAGTGCTGCAGACCTGTTTAAGGGCCTGGACTGGTATAACAAGGGCTTTAGCATGTGATCGAGGTACATGAGTAGAGCTATTGTCTTAATCCAACTGAAGTGAAGGTAAAATGTTCTGAAGTGCTCAAGTCCCCTTTTCAGAACCTAAGTCAATGAGACTGAAGACCTGTCTAACAGCAGTATCTGAGTTTGCACTAGGGAACCTTTTAGTATGCATCTGCAGGGTTCACATGGGCAGTTAGTGCATGGCACGTTGGGACGTTGTGGATTTACACCCCAACTTGCCACAGAGTTAGTGTTCATGTAGTAGACATGCCCTTTGATGCCTACATGTCTAAATCCGCTTTGAAAATGGGTTGTAGTCTCCTAAATCACAGTTGCTTTTGAAAGTTTAACCCATAGTCCCTTAATTTCATGATCACGAAATTCGTTCTCAGATTCACATGCCCTCAAAAATGAAGGGTTTCAGCATGTTCTTTGGCTTTTCTAACCTGCATGTTAGTTGAGTGACTGTGCTGGGCCAGTGGAGCTGAAGGACTGGGTTGTACTTTTTTTTTTTTAAGTGTTGAATTGTGCATCTCTGAAATACGCAGTTGTGTGTGAAACAGCACAAATATGTCATGGCACTTGTGTTCATTTGGTAAATGCAAATTTATACGAACACTTCGAAAAATGATATTGAAGAGTCATATTTCACTTCAAAGTCAGCCCGGACTTCCACGTGTGGTTTTCTTTTACCGCATTGTGCTGCTATTGCCATGATGGCTATTGCCTGTCCAAAGAAAAATATTTTTAACTTCCTGCTTATATTTCTTTCTAGAGAAAAGAACAGATAAATCTGCTGTATCTGGTGCTATACGCTTGCAAATCAATGTGGAAATAAAAGGCGAAGAGAAGGTGGCTCCGTATCATATTCAGTACACGTGCCTTCATGAAGTAAGTAAGCCAAAGGTGGCTAGTGCTAGGAGCTGTGCAGTCTCTGTCCTACCCCCCTGGCTTGGTAATGTTGCATGTATCCTGTGGCGTCTTCCCCAGGAACTCTCTCAGCCTGTTTCTATAAAGACCATAGTCTGTCCCGCTGTAACTATGAGCCTTTTTAAGCACGTTAAGATGTGGCCAGCACTGCCTGTTTTAAGAAAGCTACTAAAGCTTTGCCCATGTACAAGGTGGGGATATCTCGTCTTGGCTGGGTTGTGAATAAATTGTTAATTGTCTTCTGAAATATTGGAGGGTAGCACTCTTGGGGGTGAAGCCCCTCTATTTATCCACTGAACAGGCAGAGTGCAGGCATTGGCAGTATGAACTTCCCCCACACTGCTGCACTGTTTTACTACTAGGGACCATTAGGGAATAGAGGATCATCCAGTGTCCATGGCTGTTCAATCCTTGGTCTCTCTTGAGGTGAGCCAAAGTGGGCCAAGTACCTCTGGGAGGTGGAAGATTAAGGATAAAGAGGTGTCAGCTAAATGTAATGGGCCACCAAGCAGGTGTTAGGATCAGATCATTGCTTTTTAGTTCAGTGGCAAATCTGTTTCTCTAATTGTCTGGGGTTTTTTTCCCTTCCGACTATGCAGGGTCATTCCCTTCCTCCTTTTAAAAGATCATTTCTTTCCTTCTTTTATCCAGTGATTCTGTATATCAGACAAAACTGAGATGCTTTGCAGCTAAAATAATTAGATCAGGAGAAATCATAGGTTAAAGCAAAAAGTCCTGTGGCTCCTAATTAGATCATGAGATTTTTCATCACTTGATTTACACACGAAGGAGGCGAATGTCCTGAAGGCTTATGTATCTGTCTGTGACGCGAGTTGAGGAACACTGAGAAATATCTGCTGAACTGAGTGTGTGTTGATCACTGTACCGCAGTAGTGGATGAAAGCCTTTCCAGTGTAACTAGATGAGGCTGAAACTTGGGATGAATAAGGATGCGTAACTGATTCTTTTCTAAGTCCCAGTCAGTGGGGATATCGTTAGAAATATCCCTTTTCCCAAAGATCGTAATGATCAGAATGTTTGGCAAATAATGAATGCCTGGGAAAGGACCGTTACATTAGTTTAAACAGTTTGTCCGTTTTAAGTCATTTTTATCTCCCCTACAGAGCCTTTTAAGTTTCAGGAGACTAATCAATTTGAGATTTTGGTGGAGCAAGAAAATACTTTCTTGCATCGTTTATGAAGTCCTTTCTTCAAGAGAACTTTCATTGCAGCCAGAGGGAATTCCCTCGGAGTAAAAGTTGCACAATTTGGCCCACTGAGGAGGGAGCTGCTTTTTCCCCCAAGGACCTTGCAACTAGTTAAATTACAAATGTAAAGTGGAGTGTTAAACCTTCGAAGGCTTTGTTCTGCACCTTGTTTAGGCAATGTCCTCGCTTGTTCTTTGTGTGGCTGTTATTAGCTTGAAACATTGGAGGGTAAAGGCTTGTGTCTGCGTAGTGAAGTTTGTTGTGCCAGAATGATTAAGGAAGCCGTAGAATCATGGTGACATGACTGGCTAGCTTTCCATCCTGAGCACCTCGGACCACGGGGATCATTGTGAGTGGTCTGTGATGTGACGGGGAAGCTGAAAAAATCATTAAGCCACTTTTTGCACTGTTCTGTTAGGTAGTTTTACTATGAGCAGACTGCATCTGCATGGTTCAGGTGGGTGGCAGACATGCAGTTTGTGAATCAAATATGCTTGTGAAGTTCCGTCCATTTTATTTTTATTTCTTTAGATTTATACAAAGTCGCATTAAGGCCATATCGAAAGTTGTACATACCTTTAACAATTATTTGAAACCACAGCTTGCAGTTTCCCTTACCTTCGATTCTGAGGTGTGGCCCATGGGGATGAAGACCTGTAGTTGCAGGCCACACCTTGTGATAAAGGTCTGCTCCACTCCATGCACATTGGGTTTGGTCCTGGTGGCAGGTTGTCTGTGTTGTCCTTTGTTAACTGAAGTTTAAGCACTGATGGAATAGCTAAAGCTTTATTCACTCAGAGTATGAGCGAGTTATTTATACTGGTGGGTGAAATTATAGGGATGAATTTCCAATACATCAGGTTTAATTTAGTTTGTTTCCATTTCAGAACCTCTTCCACTATCTCACAGACATTCAAGGGAGCGGGGTGGTGAAGATCCCTGATGCCAAAGGAGATGATGCCTGGAAGGTGTATTTTGATGAGACAGCCCAAGAGATAGTGGATGAATTTGCAATGCGTTATGGTATAGAAACAATATACCAGGCTATGACGTAAGTTACTCTCCTTGTGTTTCTCATACTGAACCCTTGCTGTAGTTAGTTTATTTAATCTCAAAGGGAAGCGTTCTAAATATGTTGGTTACTCAATATTTTTAGGATGGCTGGCATGGCCTGTGATTTCCCATCTGGCTCTGCTGGCTACTGTCCTTTAAGTTTATTGTGAGTAGGAAAGGGCTGTCATGCTCTGAGTCATTAGCTTCCTCAAAGGCTAGAAATCAGTGGGTAAAGAAGGATCAGGATTGAGGGACTCAGTAAACCCACAGCTGGCTGACAGTCCTGCCCCTTGGATTTCAAATCGGAAATCAGCCATATCCAGTGTTGTTGATGTAAATAAGCAGGAACTTGATTCCCAGAGGTAAACCATTGGTGTTGTAAGACTCTGGGTCCTCCATTTATTGACCGCTGAGTTATTTAAAATGTATCATCCCTACCCCCAAATAAAAACGTCTAGTGGGGATGAGGAAGAAGGGTATTTGTGACCCAAATTTAACACCAATGCTCTTTCATGGTGATCAAAGAATCCTGTGTCAAGAACCAGAACAATCAGTTTTTAAGTAGTGGGATTTGACAAAGGCGATGACCTGGTTTGCTCTGTTTGAAACTAGACTAGTCCAATTCTTGGCTTCCTGGGGGCCTTTCCTAAACACTAAGCTCTGACTTGGTTTCCTAATGAACTCTGCTTCTTCCTGCAGACCACCAATTGTATTGCATTTGCTTTTTGTTTTCAGTGAAATATTGAATGAGGCAGATCAGCTTGAAGAAACTCACCTTTGAAGTTGAAGTTTCAGTTCTGGGGCATCCTGAAGCCCTTGAACTGAATGTATTCCACAGATAGTTCTCCATGCGGATATCTTCATTTTCTGCCAGTTGAACCATTATAACCAAAGTGGAAAGGAATTACTGAAATTAGAGCTGTGCTAGCCAGCCCCAGATGTTCTTTGCTCACATATAGCATTTATGGGTTTCACCAGTTATGCTACATCTTTAAGAACTGCTAAAAAGTCCATCCCTTCACAAACCCTGATCGCAGCTTTCTGCCGGGAATTGAGCTTTTCAGTTTTTCAGAAGAATAAAAGTAGTTTGAGATCCTTCTTTCTTCCATAAACGTATCTGTGAAAGACACAGGTAGAGAGATGGTCTGTCTGTCTGTCTATATTTTTATACAGTAGTAGTTGAGTGCCTGAACTACCAGTAGACCAGCAAGGTATCCACCATATCGAACTAATTCAATGGCATCTATTTATCTGAAACATTTGATTCTTAAATATTTTCATGTAAAGCCCTGTCAATTTACTTGGAAGGTGAGTAGCAGGGAAGCTAATGACTGTGTGTTGCCTTAGGAGGACACAGAGATTATGATCCGTTTCACGTTTAAAAGAATCTCTCTGGAATTTGTAGCAGAAGTTCTAACAAGTTTCTGACACATGGACGCTCTTCTCTTGTCATGTCTTATAATATTAGCCCTTTTTAAAGTACTGTTTTTCCTATTTATACCAGCTTTTTTTTGGTTGTTTACTTTAATCACTCCTCAAGACCAAATGCTGGTGGAATAATTTTAAGATTTCCTGTAAGAGATTTCCTTACACTTTAATGAGAGCAATTATATGAGAAAATGCAAATGAGACAACATACTTCCTGCAGGATGACAGGATTAGCCCTAAAGAATCAAAGCAGTGTCTGTACAGCACAAAGATACTGGTATGCAGAGCCTGCTGCACTCAAGGCAGGGAGTGGATTGCAGTTCCTGCTGGCACGCCACTTAGGAAGTCACTGACTATTGGAAGGAGCAGTCTGGTGTGCAGGTCTCCTTGTATCAGGCATTGTCTCAGAATCACTGTATCCTGGAGCAACAGCATAATCTCCGGATAGGACTTGTTATCAATACATTGCCAAATTGAGAGGCTGTTATGTCACGTTTCCAGGGCCATGCTAAAAGCATTTATTTTGCTGTTACCAGCTGGTATCTTTGCAGAAAAGCCAAGTGTTGGACAATGGAGACTTGTCAAGAAGGTGAAATTCTGGATTACAGCTACAGCCCTCATTGATGCGGTACTTTTAGCAGGGTGTTGCTAAGATTAATGGGGTGGAAATAGCTGAAAGAATCAATTCTCTAGCTCTGCTTTTCCCCAAGGGCCAGAAATAACCTTGTAAACTATAGAGCATCTTTGCGTCTTCTCCATAACTGACCTTGCTTATGCTGTTGCAGGCACTTTGCATGTCTGTCCTCCAAGTACATGTGTCCAGGAGTGCCAGCTGTGATGAGCACCTTACTGGCCAATATCAATGCCTACTACGCGCACACTACTGCATCCACAAACGTGTCTGCTTCTGACCGCTTTGCAGCCTCAAACTTTGGGGTATGTTTCAGTGTTAACTGTCCTGCTATGCTACTGTTAGAGTTTTACTTGCTTGGTTTGCTTATGGCTTTCGCTGATGTTAAAGTGAATCACTAGTTCTGGTGAAGGAACATTATATCCTTGGATGGTGCAATGGGACTCTTCTCTATGAAGAATTAACACAATTGATGAGGACTTGTTCATCCTGTAGCATGATTAGATATTATCAGTATAATGCATTGTGATGCTTGCATTTCTGTGCTCCAATAACACCAGAGTACAAATGGTGTGGAAAGGAGCAAACTGTATTGAACACTGCATGGGACACTATAGATAATGTATACCGTGAGATATGATGGTTTCAGTACTTAAACTAGCAGCTTCTTTAAAAGTCTGTTTCAAACAGCTGCTGCGCTTGAATGTGTATCTCAGGTTCTACTCTCTTGTGGGGGGAACTCTATACTGATTTATTAAGACATGGATTGTACTGTCCAGTCCCAACTGCCCTCCCGTTCAGTTGTTTTCCCTGTAATATGCAGTAGAGATTGGGCTTTTTAAAGTTATCCGAATGGGGTTTGGGACAGGCCATGCTCTGTTAGGGGAGAGAGTACATCTGACTGAAGGGGAGATGGCTTCTGTGCCGAACCAGCACCCAGCCAGAGGTTGGGCCCCAACTAAGGTAGAGATTGGAGCTCGACAAAAAATTTTAAATGCATTTTTCAAGCACTGAAACGATCCACAATTTTGTGTCGACCTTCGTGGATCATTTTGGTCAACCTACCCCCCCCCCCCGAAAACAAACATTTGTTTTGAATTGACATTTTGTTTTTAAAATGTTTCAAATGAAATGAAATCTTGGCAGTTTTTTGTTTGGCAAGAAAAAAACAAAAACGAAAGTCTATCTTACGAGAGCTAGGGCCCGTATCACTGGTTGGAACCCATCTGGAAATAAGTCTCTCTTTTAAATGTGATCACTATGTACCTGGAACCATGCAGATCAATAGCTGGAATTCATACATCAGTTTCAATAAGTTTATTTGTGGTCTTGTATTCTCTCTCTACTTGAATGGTACATATGTCTCCTTTAAGTGATGAAGGGGAAATTTCCTGACCCTTCTAATGTTATACTGGAATTACTGTTGCATCAAGTTTAGGAGTAAATTCAGAGATCTGAAGCAATTATTATCTTCCCTCTAAGTTTGCACAATAGAATAAATCCATATAGCTTCCTCCCACTCTTCTGTGATCCAGCACTCGTTCTCGGACAGCACTCTAGTTATTGGGAGTGTTGATTAGATCTAATTTTCTGTGACGGAGCATGACGTTATTTACTATATTTTTTCTGACCAACAGAAAGAAAGGTTTGTTAAACTGCTGGACCAGCTGCACAATTCACTCCGTATTGACCTCTCCATGTATAGGGTAAGTGCCTATAAATGGCGTATTTTCAAGCTCTCTTGTGTAGAGCATGGATTTTCTCCAGTGAATCTCCCTATTTTGGGCATTTTTGTGACACATGGAATCTCTGTCACCCACTAATTCTTCAGATACACAATTAAACCATTCCCTTTCTTGCACGTTCGCCACCTCAAGCCCTTTGATCAGCACTTGGAAATAGTCTGAGGGTTGAGAACTGTGCTGACCTTTGCTACCCTCCCAACATACTGTCAGAATAAACTGGTCCCTTTGAGTTAAATATCAGCAGTAACCCCAAGTAGGCTTTGAAGGACATACAGAGCAGCTATTATTTTGTAATTGTCACAACCTGGCCCAGTCTCTATTGGGAGTAGACCCAGCAACTTGGTCCTATGTGCTTCCAAGCCAACGGGGGCTGGCCAGAGTTTGGTCAGTGTTCCAGCTCTGGATCTGTGAGGGCACTCCCAGGTTCAGTCCCCTTGTCTGAGACCTTCCTTGGAACATGGGACTCTCCATTGAAGCCACCCCAGACCCTGGAACAAGTCCCTCAGACCACCCAAGCCCCTAGTTGCGTAGCTATGATCCATGAAAGCTCCACCTAGGTTGTGGGCACTCTGGTTTCTAGTTTAACCCCTTCAGGGAAACAAGGAACATAAGTTTAGCAAAGGGATTTCTTAATCACAGTCAATTTACTCTTAAAAGCACTAGAGTTAAAGATCTTTGAAAAATAACAAAATTCCCAAGATGCACCCATCCCTGTTAGCCTGATCTCATCCCGTCTGTGAGTCTGAGGTCTTGTCAGCATTTCAGACTAAGCAGATTCCCTCCTGCCTTCTCTGTCTCCGACCACCACTTTGTGTAGGTGGCAATGAATGGCTACCCTTTTGATAGTGTCTCTCTCTCTCTCTCCTTTTGCCATGTGCTCAGCTGAAAAGCTTGTCTCTTCCTGCCAGCCTCTGTGTAGAAAATCCATTGTTCCCTGGAGTTTGGCCAGAAGTTGAGATAATCAAAATTGTTGGCCCTAGATTGCTCTATGATTGCTTCTGCATGATAGTCCCTGAACAAGGTGTCAACCACCTTTCCTGGGCAGAGTAGCCATTCGGGATATATCAGAATAGATTTGCCTTGGGCAAGGGCTACTCATGTGCAGCACAACCAGAAAATGGACGTTACAATAGAAAATGGAGTTCACAAGTCAATACAGAAATGTCTCATTCTGTCATACTCTGCACTTAGCAGGGGAGGATACTGAGACTGAAATATACACAATCTATTATAATTTGGGATGAATATTCCGCCAGATCTTAATTGGTGCAGCATTTCTGACTTCACTATTCAACATATAGCATGTCTTTGTGGCGAATCTGCATTTGTTGTGTGTGTACATGATGGGGAAGGCTGGAAGGGCGTCTACAACCAACGTTGTTTAAAAAAAGATCTTTTAAAAAAGCCTGTCTCTTTACCTCCCAGAAAAGCTGATTTCCAGTAATGTCCTGTGGTGCTTGGGGGTTGAATTGTAGTCTTTGTGTTCTGAGTGGAGAGAAATCTTTTGACAGCCACCCTGCGTGCACACAAGATGCATTCTAATTCTGTTAGAAGTACCACTGGGAAGCATATAATTATAAATAGTAGAATGATACTCTTTATGATTGGGAGGGAAAAGTTAATCCTTGGATGAGATGTTAGTTCATTCTGCCAAAAATAGTAGTATAGTGTGAGCGCTGTGGTAAAATGTAATTAGATCTAATTTGTAATGTCGAGAGTTGATTGCATAAATGGATTCCTGATTGATTTTTCTTACAGAACAGCTGATGTTTTTTCAAGAATAGCTCTGACATAAGTCATCCTCTGACAATTAGGTGTTTTGGAGCATGTTATGTTGGCATGTATGTTATTTAATACAAGCCAGTTATTGCTTGCTGTTTGTCTAACTCTTGCTTACTAGCTTACGTAAGGCAGAAGAAAATGAGTCTAGTTTTGAGTGTGTCCTGTTTAAAAATCTTTGCCAGATGTTTTGAGCCATGAGTACCTCTTCAGTTCACAACACTAACCCAATGATTGTAACTAAATTTTGTCTTGTAGAAATTTTTGTTACTGGTGAGTCCTCCAAGCACAGGGGAGGACATGCACATGTTAGCTTGAAAAGGGGGTTGTCTTCATAGGTTTATTTTTCTTAGCTGTTTATGCAGATCATGTTGAATCCTACCAACTTAAATTAGCTACTTTGAATTAATACCTGAGTGCCCCAGCTAGTGCCAGGAGATGGCAGATAGGATCTCTCTGCAACTCCTCTGTTGTAATTATTTTGACAATCAATGCAGATATCAATAAGGTGTCTGGATGAGGTTGACTTTGTAGCAAAACCAATGAATGCATTATAAAGGATATTTCCGTCCACTCTTCTGTTGCAACTGCATCCCACCCGCTCTCTCAAGCATGTTCAGGGCTTGTCTACACGAACCTTCAGTTCATGGCAAACTGGAGTGTAAATCTACTCCACATTACTCTGCCGCACACTATGAGTCCATGAGGACCCTGCTGCCACGCATGTAGAGTTGTTCTTCAAGTGCTGGTCCCTATTTGAACTCCACTGTGGGGTGCAGGTGCTCTCTAGGCATCTGAGACCAGAAGATTTTTGCTATTAGTGTCCTCTAGTCTGTGCCTGTGCAGTTCTCCATGTGCTGTACACCAGAGGTATAAAGTAGCAGTGTGGACTAACCGCCTTTCCGATTTCCTTCTACTACCTATGGTGTGTTGGAAAGCTCCAGTGTCCAGCAAACTTGCTACCTTCCTAATCACCTGAAAATAGTTATAGAATAGTTTATAGATTAGTAGTTGAGTTAGTATAGTTAGTGGGACTCTTCTCTCTCTCTCTCCCTCCCCCCCACCCTCCTGTCTGTACTCTTTGAGGTGATTATTATGCCCAGTGTAATGGGATGTTCACCCCACATTACCCTAGAGGGGGGTTGGTGGGGCTGAGAAGGGACCAGTTAACCAGATGGGCTACAGCTGTGGGGAAATAGGTGGCTTAAGTAACCCCTGAATGAAGAAGGAGCCATCTGAGAAGGAACAGGCGGGGCTACGATAAAGCCAGGAATTTGGCAGCAGAAAAGGGCTGCAGTGAGGGATCCGGCAGCCCACTCTCTGGACATTAGAGAGGGAAGGAAGGAAACGGGGGGGAGAGGCAGTCTTCCTCACTGTCCTGATGGTGGTACTTCCCCAGTGGCTGTTAGGGGAGCCTGGGCCTGCCCTCTTCTCTGGGTTCCAACTCAGTGACCTTCTAATCAGTGGTCAAGCTCTGCACCATCTTACACCTTGCTGCAGTTTCCCTAAGCCTTTTCCTACATCCCCTCCCTTTAGGTTTCCTTCCTTCCCTCTTTAATGTCCAGAGGGTGGCTGCATGCTCCTTCACTGCAGCTCTTTTCTACTGCCAACGTCCGGGCTTTATAATCCAGCCTACTCCTGCTTGTTCAGTTAGGGCTGGCTTTCATGCCACGTACAGCCAGGTACCCTAATTGGCCCCTTCGGGCCCCATTAACCCTTTTAGGGCCTGTGTGGGGTACACACTGCATCACATCCAGTATCCTGGGCTTCAAAAACTGTGCCTGATGCCCCAGATCATTCCTGGTCAGTGACAACCTTGTCTGGTGCCTCTGTTGCCTTGGAGAGGCCCATGTCCCCTTTAAGTGCTCAATCTGCAACTCCTTCCCTCCTGGAACCCCCGAGGCACATGAGTACCGACTGTGGGGCTTCTTCATGGAAGAGCAACGAGGTCCCACTCATATCCCAGCCTGGGAGAATTCCTTACAGCGGGCAGACCCCTGTACATTTGGAGAAGGAGTTGCGGAGTGCTCCACCAGCCTGCGTACCCTCGACTATCAACAGTGGCAGGAGTAAGTCGTCGTCCTCTTCTAAACAGAAGCACGAGGAAAGTCCTCTCATAAGGAGGAGGATAAATTCACATGAGAACCATCATCTAAGAGAACCACCTCCTGTACACACAAGTCGTCTAGGACTTCATATTACAGTACTGCAGCAATGTTTTCAGAGTACGGCACTGAAATCCCAGCTCCGAAGAGCAAGTCCATTCCAAAACCACCGTGTGCTGCTCCGCTGGTACCATCTATGGAACCTCTGAAACAGACATTGCATCCAGCACCAATGGCACCATGGCACTCCGGTAGGGAGTCCTCAGTACTGAGAATTCCAACCAAATTGACTCTTAACGGTGCAGACAGAGACCAGCTTTTGTTCCCCCCCTTCAGGGGACAAATTTACCACCCAGGAAGTCCTCCTTGTCCTGCAAGATGCTGAATCACCCCTCCTTTCGGGTGCCGTTACCTCTGCAGACATCTTGACCCTGTCTTTTCACAAGTGGCTACAAGGAGGTCTTTCTTCCCAGACCTTCTCCCAATCAGAGTACTACTAAATCAACACTACCACCTGTTATTATGGACACCCATTCCCTGATACCATCAACTAGCAGAGAGGTGGCCAAGCAGCTGAATCGATCAGCACCACCCATGGAACAAGATCCTACCTTCTGATTTTGATGGCATGGATGTGGGTGAGAGAATGCCACCTCCCACAATAACACACAATCTCAGTCCAGACATGGTATCAAGAGTCTCATGGGCTCCATAAAAATCGTATAGAATGGATTATCCTCCATATGAACTTAAGTACCCCATGCCTTGGGATTGGGATGCACCCCAACCACCATGTAACCAATCCCATTGGTCCTACTGGGGTCCATATACGTGGTGCTCTGAATCAGTTTATTCTAGATGAGACTTGCAGCATTACTCTCCTGAGATAGAGGAAGCAGACCCCTCATAAAATGATAGAAGAGAAGTATCCAGAGACACCTCCAGAACTGTTGGGTCAGTCAGGATTCTCGTTATCATCCCTAGATGAGGCAATTACACCTACCTCCTCTTCACCTTCTGATGACATCAAGCAATATTAAGACCTACTGAAGAGGGTTGCAGAGATGCTCCAAATCC